CTGAGGCTGGATTTTCCACCCTGGTTCAAACAAGGCAAGGGAAGAGGAAGCTGCAACAGCCAGAATGTTGTACTGTTTCCACAGTGTGCCGTTGAAGCTGGAGCATGAGGTGGAGATGTCCTGACAGGGCAGCCTAAACCACGGGTGGGAGGAGGCGCTGGCTGCAGCATCCCCCACCCACAGACCCATCATGAACTCATCACATGACTATGATCAACATTGAAAAGACAGAAAAACCCGCATTTCTCCAGCTGTGATCGTCCTCTTTCTCAACTTTGCTTGCCTAATTATTTTAATGCTTCAAATTTAATTATTTCTACTCTTTCTCAACCCACAAGGGATTTAAAATAATTCATAAATGCTTTTATAAATTAAAAATCAGGACCAGAGAAAATACAAACTAGAACTGAAAGTCTAGTCTAGAGGGGAAGTAAAATATGCTCATCGTAGTATTCTGAGAAGTTCTCAAACTTGGCTTTGTGTTAACCTAGCAGTCAAAGCGAAAAGAGAAACAGAACCAGTTACAAGATTCTCGTGTTCATGAGGAGAAAACATTTCAGTTCCTTGGGGGAAGGCAAACCATTTCCTGGAATTCAGATCTGCAGGAATTTTCTCATTCGAGGCTTTATATAGGAAATCATGAAAATGTAATGGAGAATATCTAAAATCACACCTCTAGGTCATGATGTGTATTTCACAGTGTTATAATTCTTACCGAACCTATTGTAAAAGTTTAAATAATCACGCCCTGCCAGGGCTAACTTCATTTTGAATACAACCTCATTTGAGCCTGCGAATTCTACTGTGTCATTATAACTGAACCAAAGCGGTTGATAACCACCTTCCTAATATGCAGATGAGAACTGGTGGGCTCTGGGACCATGCCCTTCACAAGCAGCATCCGGAAACTAAGCTAAATATCTTTGGGGGGGGGTGACTATAAAATAAGGACCTCTGAAACTCCTCTTCGAGACACATACTGCTGTGACTCTACTCTCTGTGAGAAACCATTTGCGAAGACAGATGCAGGGGGAAATTCTGCTGATTGAAAATGTCCTTGAACTTCATTAGTGACGACATGATGGCATTCCAGACCCATCTGAATGTCACTTTGAGGGGACCAGTCTCTGGAGCCAAGTGAAAGAGTCTTCCCAGAGATGCACAGAGTTTGGTTTGTATAAATATATAGGCTTGCTATATATTTATTACATAATCTATTCTGTGTGTGTGTGTGTGTGTGTGTGTGTGTGTGTGTGTGTGTTATATAATAAAGCAATTCATTTGGGAACATTTTTTTCCCTGTTTACCTTGTCATTTCAATTAGGAGTCAAAGAACTCTCCTCTCTCACCAGAAAGGTTAAAATTCGTTCCCAGCTTTTGGGGAAACCCTTAACTGATCAGAAGCAACGACCCTCCCACGGGCTTCATGAAACTGTACTTTGTAAACCATTTTTAGGAAAATCAGGAGGAGACACTTCAATTAAATCAGTTCTATTAGAAATGAATTCAACACGGAGACCAGCAGATGGTGTAATGGCTATGCCACTGGACTCCCACGTAGGTGACCCTGGTTCGAGTTCCAGACCCAGTGGCTTAAAACTCACACTGGGCGCATGTGTGTGCATGCCCAAAATCTCAAGAGGAGTGTGGAGGAGAAGGGACTGCAGCATAGGCATCCTCCTGGGGAGGGGGAAGTGGGGCAATTTCTTTTTTCTGTCTCTCTGTCTCTCCAGTGAATACATGCACTCTATACATGCACCCTCTCTCTCTCAAAAAAAAAAAGAATTGAATATAACCAAGTACACACGTTGCTTAGAGTTCCATTTAATCCAAGAAGCCAGTTTTGACTATCTCAAGGAACAAATGAACTTAACCCCTAATATGGTCTATATATGTGCATCTACGAAAAAACTAAATGTATTACTTAGTCAGAGGAAATTTATTAAACAAGAATTTCTTCTTCTCCCTCACTATTTTCATGGTAGAAATAGAAATAGAAAACATCTATTTCCATGACAAAGAAATATACAAAGTATGTCTTTTATTTCTATTGAGTTAACTTTTTAAAATATTTTTAACTTTACTATTCACATGGCAAAAATATTGCTATATAAACATTTGTTTGAAAAGAAACCCTCCTTATTATTTGGTTGAGGAGTGAAAGAGAGGGTCAGGTATAAATGACAAGTTAATTACAAATGAAATAAGTTGATTAGAATGTTTTTATCTCCCTCTTGTGTCAGCTATTTTCATGATTTTTTTTCCTAGAGAAGTACAGACAGAACACAAACCCCTGACCATTACGATGTGAGAATGTGACATGAAAAATCTGGTGAAGGAGGATTATTACAATTTCACGTAGAGGAGGATTCAAAGGTTTTGAAGCACTCAAGAAGCTATCAGAGCCTTTTAAACTTTGTTCTCCGGAAGGAACAGCTGAAATTTCAGAATTCATTACTACCTAACTGACCCTTCCGTTCAGTCATCTCACGTTTTTAAGTGTCTGTTCATGCACTGTGTCTAATTTGTTGTTTGGTATGTTGTGGATATTCAATAGTACTCTATAATAATAACGAAAAAAAATGCTAAAGCACATACCGATCGTATTTACTTGTGACCTCATCTCCTTTTCTTAATCTTATAAAGGGATTTTAAAATTCCAGCAGAAAATGATGATAAACACTAAGCATATTCTGATGGGGTTTATAAAGTGAATTTCTCACATATTTTAAGAATAAATAATTCACACACATAGTTAACCTATTTGACTCAGCAACAACAGATGTTCAATAATATGACCAGGTAATATGACCAAGAAATAATTATGATTCTGATAGAGAAAGACTGGAAATATTATGGGGAACAGACAGATGTGTGTGTGTGTGTGTGTGTGTGTGTGTGTGTGTGTGTGTTATATAATAAAGCAATTCATTTGGGAACATTTTTTTCCCTGTTTACCTTGTCATTTCAATTAGGAGTCAAAGAACTCTCCTCTCTCACCAGAAAGGTTAAAATTCGTTCCCAGCTTTTGGGGAAACCCTTAACTGATCAGAAGCAACGACCCTCCCACGGGCTTCATGAAACTGTACTTTGTAAACCATTTTTAGGAAAATCAGGAGGAGACACTTCAATTAAATCAGTTCTATTAGAAATGAATTCAACACGGAGACCAGCAGATGGTGTAATGGCTATGCCACTGGACTCCCACGTAGGTGACCATGATTGGAGTTCCAGACCCAGTGGCTTAAAACTCACACTGGGCGCATGTGTGTGCATGCCCAAAATCTCGAGAGGAGTGTGGAGGAGAAGGGACTGCAGCATAGGCATCCTCCTGGGGAGGGGGAAGTGGGGCAATTTCTTTTTTCTGTCTCTCTGTCTCTCCAGTGAATACATGCACTCTATACATGCACCCTCTCTCTCTCAAAAAAAAAAAAAAAAAAAAAAGAATTGAATATAACCAAGTACACACGTTGCTTAGAGTTCCATTTAATCCAAGAAGCCAGTTTTGACTATCTCAAGGAACAAATGAACTTAACCCCTAATATGGTCTATATATGTGCATCTACGAAAAAACTAAATTTATTACTTAGTCAGAGGAAATTTATTAAACAAGAATTTCTTCTTCTCCCTCACTATTTTCATGGTAGAAATAGAAATAGAAAACATCTATTTCCATGACAAAGAAATATACAAAGTATGTCTTTTATTTCTATTGAGTTAACTTTTTAAAATATTTTTAACTTTACTATTCACATGGCAAAAATATTGCTATATAAACATTTGTTTGAAAAGAAACCCTCCTTATTATTTGGTTGAGGAGTGAAAGAGAGGGTCAGGTATAAATGACAAGTTAATTACAAATGAAATAAGTTGATTAGAATGTTTTTATCTCCCTCTTGTGTCAGCTATTTTCATGATTTTTTTTCCTAGAGAAGTACAGACAGAACACAAACCCCTGACCATTACGATGTGAGAATGTGACATGAAAAATCTGGTGAAGGAGGATTATTACAATTTCACGTAGAGGAGGATTCAAAGGTTTTGAAGCACTCAAGAAGCTATCAGAGCCTTTTAAACTTTGTTCTCCGGAAGGAACAGCTGAAATTTCAGAATTCATTACTACCTAACTGACCCTTCCGTTCAGTCATCTCACGTTTTTAAGTGTCTGTTCATGCACTGTGTCTAATTTGTTGTTTGGTATGTTGTGGATATTCAATAGTACTCTATAATAATAACGAAAAAAAATGCTAAAGCACATACCGATCGTATTTACTTGTGACCTCATCTCCTTTTCTTAATCTTATAAAGGGATTTTAAAATTCCAGCAGAAAATGATGATAAACACTAAGCATATTCTGATGGGGTTTATAAAGTGAATTTCTCACATATTTTAAGAATAAATAATTCACACACATAGTTAACCTATTTGACTCAGCAACAACAGATGTTCAATAATATGACCAGGTAATATGACCAAGAAATAATTATGATTCTGATAGAGAAAGACTGGAAATATTATGGGGAACAGACAGAACCTGTGTCAAAATGAGATGAAATTCCTTCTCCTACTGCTGGAATTATTCACCTCTCCTCTTGCCCTTTAACACATGTCTTCTGTTCACACCACCCTTGTAAGACTATGACTCTTTGAGAATAGAAAAAGTCTGTGAACTTATCAAACTCAGGTGCAAAGATATATAACTTCTTTTTTCCCTTGAATTTTACACTCAGTACCTATTTTTCCTATGATTTATCTACTGAGTTATCATGATTTATCTATTGGGTTATTTTTGCATCATGACTTTTCCAGTGACCTTTGGATTCTATCACCATCGAAGATTCATAAACTAAGAAAAATAATTAGACAAATAGTCACAAATGGATAAAATACTGTTTCATGACCATGTCAACACAATCTGTAGTGCCACCTGGTTTCCACATGGAAATTTCTAGCAGACGGTGGAGTGGCACCTCCAAGGTGTTCCTCCAAGCAAACCTACCCGCTTGCTGCCTTCCTCTTCCTGAGCCTTCCTGAATTCATGCTCCAGGGAGCAGTCCAGCTCATTGAAGAGGCCAACCTCCTCGCAGTTCTTCAGGAATCTTGTTGGGGTGGGAGTTTGATCTGAAAATAGACAGTGATCATAAATGGGTCTTTTTGGGGCATTTTTAATCATAATATTTAGTTGACATATAATAATGGTACATATTTATGGGGTATAGTGTGATTTTTTTCAATATATGAATACACAGCATAATGTTCAGATCAGATCATTAGCATATCCATCATCCCAAACATGTATCAGTACTTTGTGTTAGAAATATCCAAAATCCTGGGGCCAGCAGGTGGCGTGGTGGTTAAGGGTGCTGGAATCCCACATGGTCAACCACGGTTGGAGTCCCAGACCTGGAGGCTTGCTTTCTCTCTCCCTCTCTCTCTCTCCTCTCTCTCTCGCTTGCTCTCACTCTCGCTCTCGCTCTCTCTCTCTCTCCCCTTTTTTGGTCAAATTAAAATAAATAAAGTCAAATCAAATAATTCCTTAAAAAAAATGAAATATCCAAAAGAAATATCCCAAATCCTCTTGTCTTAGTATTTTTAAATATACAGTAAGTTATCATTAACTATAGTTACCCTACTGTGCTATAGAACACAGAACTTATGTGCTCATTCATAAGTAGAAGCTAAAAATAATGACCTCATAGAATTGGAAAGTAAAATAGCAGTTACTAGAGGCTGGGAAGGGAGGAAGGAGGAAAGAAGAGGGAGACATTGATTAACAGGTACAAAATTATTGTTACATAAATGTTTTATTTCCTCAAAGCCAGAGGCAAGCAAGAGCCAAATTCACTAATACTCTCTCCTCACCTTTTAATGCCTACTAGCCATCCACAATCTCCCAACACATTAAATATAATGATAATATGCAAGAAAATAAATTCCAAAGACAATAAGATGGAACTTCAAAAAGTTCATAGAGGGTCCAGCAGTTGGCATAATGGCTATGTCACTGGACTCCCATGTATTTAACTGCGGTTCAAGTCCCAGATCCAGCGGCTTAAACTCATACCGGACACATGTGCATGCATGCCCAAGATCTCAAGAGGAAAATGGAGGAGAGGGGATTACGGCGTGGCTATCTCCCCTGATGGGTGATTTATCAGTTACTGTCTCTCTGTCTCTCTGTGTCTTTCTGGCAAGTGCACGCACCCTATATCAAAAAACCATAAAAAAAAAGTTTATGGAAAGACCAACAGACAGTGGAATGGTTACATTTCTGAACTCCCATGTAGTCAACCACAGTTCCAGTCCTAGACCTGGTGGCTTAACCTCACTCCAGGTACATGTGCGTGGTTGCCCAAGATCCTGAGAGGAGAATGGAGGAGAAGGAATTGTGGTGTGGCCATCCTTCTGGGGGTGATTTCTCACTTTTTGTCTCTCTGTCTCTCTCTGTCTTTCCAGCAAGTGCATTCACCCTATAACAAACACCTCTCTTCTAAAAAATAAAAATAAAAGTTTGGGGAAAAATGGAATTAAAGCACAATTTAATTTGGGGTCAAAGTCATTTTAAGCCATGTATAGTTTTCCCATAATAACACTTTCCATGAACTGTTGGAGACCCCCTCCTCTTACAACAGATACAAGCCAGAGTAGGCGAGGATTTCCCAGACCTCTTTCTGGCCAATTTTAGGAGACTGTGCCCTAGACTCGTCAGAAGTCCATATCATTTGAATATCCATTGCAGCATGTGAAATGACCTTTTTATTTATTTATTCTTTTTAGCTGGAAAAAAATATTTAACTAAAATCAGGCCAAAACAATCTCCTGAGCCAATGTTAGGTCTCACTTAAGGAGGCTGTAAAGAAAAAAGATTTTGTAAATTTCTATCAAATAAAATGAAACAACCAAGCAAGTTAGTTCCTTTTTCTTAATAGAATTCTATCTTAGCAATTCTCTCTCATTCTAAGAATCATAGAAGGATAAGAAAAGGTTCCAAGTCAAACACATTCAACTTCCATCCTTCAAAAATATCATTATTAATTTTATTTTCCTTTGCTATAGCCAAAAGAATGTTCTGAGAATGCTCTTTAAAAGGAAAAGAATTTCTTTCATATTCTCGACTTTCTAGAGAGCTGGAATAGCTAACGCCACTATTTATGGTTTAACATTCATGTAGTATTTGCAGTATACAAAATAGTTTCACACATGTTCTCTAAGATCTAGCTCTCACAAGATCCTAGCAGGTAAAGAGGGCAAAATTATACGTTGGTAGTCATGAAGGACATTCACCCTCTTTGATGAAGATGTACTTGAGCTGATCTTGAAAAATTATGTAAGCTGCCTTTTATCAGAAACAGAAGATGTAAGGACCAGAAAGGACTGCGAAGGAAAGCCTAGTTGTGCTCATTTCCCTGGAAATGAGGTAAACTAAGACCCAGAGTGATTAGGGGTCTTGGTCAAAGTTTCCCAGGTAGACAGTGGTGATACCAGGATTATAACCAAGGCCTCTATTCTATTTCCACTGTCCACACGTGTTATTCTCACCTGAGCCTCTGACAGACATTCCAGGTTTGATTTTGGCATTTGTCCACTTTGACTTACACTCAGGCTCAAATTCTTTCTCTGTATAATTCTCTAAGCCATCAACAGTTACCAAAGGAGTGTCCCCAAGTTGAAACAAATTTGCAATTCCTGCACCCTTTTTATAAATTCCTATAAGAAACTACACACACATAATTTTTTGAGAGATTTTTGCTATAGGGTGCATGCACTCACTGGAGAAAGAGACAGACAGACAGAAAGTGAGAAGTCACCCCCCGCCCCAGGGAGCTGGCCATGCTGCAATCCCTTCTCCTCAAGGGATTTTGGAAATGCATGAACACATACCCAGCATGAGTTTCAAGCCACTGGGTTCGGGACTTGAACCATAGTAAGCCATGTGGAAGTTCAGTTTCCTAACCATTACATCATCTGCTGGTCCCATATACACAAAATTTTTAAGTTTGCTGTAGGGTGCATGTGCCAAAGGGAAACGGGAAAGGGGAGGGGGAGTGAGAACGGATGGCCTTTTCCTCCATTATCCCCTTTGGATTTGGGGTGCACACGCACCCAGTGTGTTTCTCAAGCCACCTGGTATAGGACTCAGTCCCAGTAAATCAGTTAATAATCCAGATTCAGAGAATATCTTAATATTTGGGAAGCAAAAAAAAAGACTTGACATTCCCAATTAATCAGTCTTTCTAAGACAATATCTCTTGATTCTCTTTGGGTTAGGAATTTTCAGCATCCAAATAGTTGTCATGTATGCCAACTCAGCAAGATCCCATATGCATTCTTCCCCATTCTTAGACTGATTTCCAAGATACCAAGTTCTCTTTGTAGCCCACAGAGAGCCTACCACAGATAATCATAAACTGTGTGTTATAGGTAAGAGATAGACCAAAGATTAGGCTTTGAGGAAGACGGTTTCATTAGCACATTAATTCATTACAATGCACACATAGTACACCTACATTTCCAAAGTGTGTACATAACTGTAGTGTGTTTATAGAACATAAGATTGCACAATTTTTCAGTTTACAAACTGCATGTCGTGCTGAACCTGGGTCTCACATGATTCTATACAATAAATCCAGTAGCTATTATTTTAGAAATAAGGTTTTATTGCACAAAGTCACACAATCTGTAACTGCCTAATCACTTCTAAGTCCTCTCTTACCTTCACACATGACTCCTTTTTTGGATATAATTCCAGTACTTTGTCCACTCAGATCCAAAGGGCGCTACTGTGTGTGTAAAAGCCAATTTTAACAACCTACAAACCAACGTTTGACAATTACCTGATTTGAGGAAAGTTACCTGCATTCTCTAGATTTCCAATGCCTTATCTATCAAATAAGGTTCCAGAGTTTTATGATTTGTTTTTAAATCCTAAAATCGCCAGCATAATGAATTAGCTTCAGAAGTCACTGTTCAGGAACCAGCAGTTAGCGTAATGGCTATGTCGCTGGACTCTCACGTAGTGACCGTGGTTCGCGTCCCGGACCCGGTGGCTTAGAACTCACGCCGGGCACGTGTGCGTGTGTGCCCAAGATCCCGAGAGGAGAATGGAGCAGAAGGGATTGTGGCTTGATCATCCCCCCGGGGGGTGATTTCTCGCTTTCTGTCTCTATGTCTCTCTCTTTGTCTGTCTGGCAAGCACACGCGCTCTATAGCGAAAACTTCTCAAAAAAAAAAAAAAATCACTGTTCATCAGCCAAAGAAATATATGAGAACATCAGGAACAGCTGAAAGTTAGACACAAGTAATTAAGTCATGTGTAAGCGTTAGATATATAAATAAGGGCATTTTCTGAACAGAAGGTAGAGATAGACAAGATGTGAGAGGAGAATGAAAAGAAAAAAGAAAAAGTAGATCTTCTTCCACTTATCAGGTGCTTTCTGGCAGGTTGCGTCTTGAGTGCTTCACATACACCATCTCATTCATTTTCACACAAACCATATGAGGTAAAAATCATTTTCAACATTTTACTTAGGAGGAAACTGAGACTTGCCACAGGCCTAATTTGGAAATGTAGTCACATGATTTCATTGGTAATCTTAACAACTCCATGTTCTTTTGACGTACCTTGGAATTATTTACATACCCGATACAAAAGAATTACACAACAATCCTACTGACTCTTCACTATCTTAGAAGAACATTTTTTTAAATTAGGAAGTCTGAGAAAGAGGCTGGCAGGTGGTGTGTGGGTGAAGGTGCTGAACTCCCCCATGGACAACCACTGTTCGAGTCCCAGACCTGGTAGCTTACTTTCTCTCTCTCTCTCTCTCTGGGTGGGTGTGTGTGTGTGTGTGTGTGTGTGTGTGTGTGTCTCCCTCTGGTCAAATTTAAAAATAGTAAGAATAAATAAAATTAAATAAATAGTTCCTGAATTAAAAAAAAAAAAAAAGCCTGAGAAAACACCACATAACAAACTGAATTGTTAGACCACTGTCATCAGCAGAAATGGAGCTAGCCAGGTTTTCATTTTTCTTCTATTCCTCTATACCTCTTTGTTAGAGAACAGGCATCCAAGAAGCCTCCATAAGACTCCTGAACTCTGAGATGAGGTCATAAGATAGTTC